ATCGGTCGAAAAATGTAGGAGGAGAATGACAGACTAACAAAGGTTTACGCCGGACGGACAGACGGACAGACAGACAACCCCATACCATATTACTTCCGTCAAACTTGATGGGCATATAAAAATGGCATTAAAATTGATTATATAAGAGTCCAATACCAGTTAGTTATCACTGTATAGTGCCTGATCCATGCCACCTACAATTGGGATACTGGCCTGGCCTAATGAATGGATCGGATACAGTCAACAGGACAAAGATAACATTATTACACCCGATCTCGTGACAATTAATGCCCTCGTACCTGTGTACAACACAAAAATCAATGGTATCACTGGTGCCAAATAGCCATATACTGTCTGATCCAGACTTCTGATGGCGCAGCCACAATACCAGGAAGGGGGCGAGGAGGAAATCGGCACAGATAAATTAGCCGATTTTTGTTTTGTTCCAATATAGAGGTAAAACGGGAGTTATTTAATGATGGTTACTGATTTGTTCCATTGTTGGAGAAATGGAAAGAAAAGACAAAATTTAATAATAACTAATCATTATAAATTCACCGATAACACCGGTTTCCTAATCTTTTAAGTTAGTTTTGTTGATACAAATTTTTGTCAAACATTTGATTAATGTTGATATTTCAATTCAATTAAAATCATTATGGTTTTCAACGAAGACAATATTGGTCGAGGTAGCAGTAAAAACATTTTATCTTGAGGGAAGTTAAAACTAACTTCCTTTTGCAAAAATGAAACTTGATGGTGAAGAGTAGTATTATAAATTTGTTTTCCTATAGTTGTAGGGAAATGTTATTTGCTGTTTCCCTGAGATTATGGGTAATCATGTGTCTGAGGAGGGTATATATCAAACATTCTGTGAAACAGGAACCTAATACGAACTATATATTTATCTTGATCTTGTCATGCCCAAGCTCTACAATGCAGTATCTGGCTGTATGTTAACTGGATATTGAAAAAAGATAAAATTAACCTGTGTTATAATTTGGTGTTTGGTCGACACAGGATGAACAGGACGACATTATAAGAATTACTATGTAAAATTTGATATTGTCGCTATGCAGCAACAATAACCCATACTAAGGCACTTCAATACAGATATAGAGTTTGTTCAATCAAACCAATATGAGGACCTCGCAGGAGCTGCCTAATGAGGTGTTAACTACTGGTCCTAAGTCACCTGGCTAATACCTCCACAAGGGTTTGGACCTCAAGTGTGTTAGATGTGTGTTCTGTTTTGTATTCACTGTAGTACCGACCCCAGACCATTTTTATACTCCGCCAGGGTGATTTGAGTTGCACAAGTTTGTTCCCCTTTCCTTTTTTTTGTATCAGCAATTCTTTGATATGAATCTATTATAATAAATTCTCAAATCCCTTTAAAACTTAATTTCACCTATTATGAGTTTTGATAGCTTTCAAACAGGTGGTTGATTTTCAAATGTAACCAGTTGAAGGCCGACTAGTTTTTGTTATAATATATAGTTTAATCTCTGATAAGCTGGCCGTCTTTTAAGGACAACTGTTACAAAACCATTGCGATATCCTCAAACATAAAAGCAAAACTAGTGATATCATTAATATGATGAAAACAATTTATCTTCACTTGCTTTTTAGCCAAAAGGCATATATATAATGACAACCTTTTTTTAAAGGTTTAAATGGGAATGCACCAAAAAATATCTCGAAAGTCATTCTTCAAGTTACACACGTCCTTGAATGACCTTGTAGTTGTCAATAAGACGTTAAACAAAACAAATAAAACCAAACCTCGAGTAATAGAAAATTTCCACAAACAAAAGGCTTAATTATGACATCCAATGCGACTGTAGTGTACTTTGCTATACAGTCTAGTCTGTAAGCTATATCAGCACTACAATGGCACATCTGTACAAAACCTACAGCAGATGTTTTTACAAGTGGTTTGTCGGAGATATATACACATGCAACAATGTGAACTGTTACAGGTTATATACAGTGTCATCATGCAGTGGAGAGAAAATCAGTGATACAATACACACCGAGACTGACGACCAGTGACATGTATAGCCGACATGTATAGCCACACAGCTGCCTAGAATTACGAGTGGACAAATAACTCATCTGATGTCACACACTACACATAGTACAGTTAGATATGATTCGAGACATATAATTTACATATCTGTATCTCCATCTACATAAGAAATCATATACCTGCCTATATAAACTACACACAAACATACAATCAAATTCTATCCTCAGACGGGTAAACATACCTACCTGACCCTAAACCATCGTCAATGGAATCCTCACGTTTTCCTACAGGGTTTTCCATTTTTTTATGAGCAGACGACTTCTTAGATCGAGCCCCAATTGTAGATTTCTCCGCCCCCAGTGTGAACGCCTATTCACCGTTTAAAATGAAATTCACTTCCACTCACAAGAGCCGACCAACAGAAAACAGAAAATCACCCTTCCAATCGATCCAATAGATGGAGCGTTTGTTTTCATTCACAATACAAGCTGATCCGATGGAAGTGAGCTGGGAACACCATTCTAAAAATAGATTCTCAAATGATGCAAGGCAGAGGCACACACCCCTAAATGTCTTACACACACTGAATATCCCACAATTCAAATATCACTTCCTGTTTTGTCTCTCCGAATAATCTTGACTTTCATTTGCTGCATTTCTAAATATAGACTTCCCAAATGATGCAAGCATCCAGAGCCACACCTTCCCCGGAGTCAATGTTTCACCTAAACACAGGATTCCTCTAGACTGTAGTTGCTATGGTGATTACAGGGGTTTAAGTTTGCCACCTGCTATATGACTATGTGATATATGTGTATTTTGCCAGTCACAGTTGACTGGTAGATAGGCTGACAGTTCTGAGGGTCAACACACCACTATAATCAATACACTAAGTCTGTACATCAGTGTAGGGCTTAGTCTCAGGTTATATGTGTGTGACAATGCTGTGTGAATTAATACACATTTTATGTGTAATGCTGGGGTGCATATATAAGGTTTCATGTGTAATACGATCTGGTATGTAATTTCAGGTTATATGTCGAATGATTGGACATTTATATAAAATGCAGTTTTCTGGTGTTCTGCAGAAAAATCAGTATTTATATAATGTATAAATAATACAACTGTATAATCGTCCTGGAAGTTGTCGTAGCAAAATCAAAATAATCTGTTAGAATGAATCTCATATTACTCTAGTAATCTGAGTTTCCAATGATGTCGGGAACATTGCTGTTGAGATGAGAACACATCACATGACACAATTCCAATTTATACAAATCTCATTTCCGTCTGTCTCGGCTATTCTTTACTCTGGTGGACCACAATGACACTCCACTCTTTGACAGAACATTTACATATATCCAGCAAAGCAGGACTTTAAAATCGCAAAGTGCCTCTGAAAATATACTGAAATTCTGTCACGTTCCTTCACAACAGGAGTTGCTACTAAAGAGAGAGTGATGTCAACTGTCATATAACACGTATATAATGCTGCTAAATGAAGCATAGATTTTTCACACTCCCAACATTATGTTTATCAAATTCAATTTGCACGTTTTCGAACACTAAAGTGTCTTCATATGTGCAAGCTCTGTCCTTTTATACATACATACAATATGCATATTTTTGAACTATGTTTTCAATATTAAACAAGGTTACCGCGAGCGGTATATAATACGCCCGCCACACATTGAATGAGCAGTTGTTTGTATGATTGAAATATATGAAGTATTTGTGAGTAATTGATATTAAAAGAGAAATCATTCAACATAACTGGTAGATCAATGAGTGCAATACAACATCATGGAACGCATGCATCGCATTAATGAAACCAAGGGGAATAACTCAAATAATTACGGTCGGATAATGGCGGTTATCGAACTTGTCCGAGCTTCCATGGTAGTTAACCTTGTGGTGAAGTTTGAAGTAACTCCGTTAATAATTACTTGAGATATCGAGCGGACATCGTTTGCATGCCCGCCCGCCCGCTCACGTGATAACATAATACGTCCCCGTCTTCGACGGGCGTATAAAAACTTGAAACTACAATTCCAATATTCAATCCTAATTCTAAACTTCACCATTCAATTATTCAAATTTCTCCTATTGTGTTATTCAAATAAATAAAACCTAAATTCTAATAAGCCTACTATGGCTTTATGTTTAACCCATTCACCCCTGAAGACACATTTGAACTCTTCCAAATCAAAGGTTGGAATAGTTCATTATGAAATTTCAGGGGTGAATGAGTTCATACAATACCATTAGATACATAATTACCAAGAATATCAGGTGATAATATATCAAGATAAATAAGATTTTCAAGACGATATCTGGAATTTATCAAGCAAAAAGGGTATATCTTATTTTCACGAATGAATTAAGTGTCAGAATAAACCACTTCTCTGAAAGAACAAGTTCAAATCTCCCTCTAAAACAACAATATTACAAGTAATGCTGAAAATAAACCTTGTACAAACTGACAACCTATTAAATGGAGTTGGCTGCGATATAAACACCCTTGTGTGGTAAGTAAGGGATAATCTCAATCTGAAGACAAATCTCGGATGTCAAGAATGAGTTTCTGTCAAGTTCTGGATTCCAAAATATCACTCCCAGAAATAAATGATTTTCCAATCTGGATCACCTCACACAGTCTAATTGGTGTTCTATGTATAAAATGTCCATAACCACAAAAATAAATTGTAAATAACAAAGTTCTGTCCATCAGGACGATGTTTGGGACATGCTTCAGTCTCTCACTCAAGCTGTTCCTCAAGACTGGAGCCTCTGACCATCTATCATCATTTCACACCAAAACGAAAAGCCAATAAGTTTAAATATCCTTACCTGTAAATATTAAGTTTGGCTAATAAGCCATCAAGGTTTGAAAATTCTTCAGAATTCATAATTATAAATATCAATAGTTGATTCCAATATATATGTTATTCACAACTGTGGTACTTACGTAAAGGTGAATTAGGCGGGCTTATACTTCTCTGAAACACATACAGGTCAAAAATCACAACACAGTTAAAATTGTCCGATAGCTAGTCTAAGGGAGATAACTCTCCCAAAATTATCTGAATTCTTGTTGAAATGCATAAGTTATCAAAGTTGGATATATTACCATCATCACAAGCAAAGATATCGAGAAACAAACAGAAAGCCTATGAAATGTTTTCTTTTCTTTTGAACAACAGAAGCTCAATATTTTAACTTCACTTTTATAATCATCCAGAAATAGGGGGTGGGGTGTAGGCATTCACAATTTTTTTTCCCTTGGGTCTTCTATACAAACAAATATCTGCAGGATTATAATGAACATTGGTTTACAAAACTCAAAATGCACTAATCGACATTACTGACATCACAATGTAAACTGATGTTAAGTTTTGCGGAGGATTTAGTGTTTACATGTAAATTTGGGTTTTGCCATCTAATGTAACATTTCAGTTCAATAGGAAAATCAAAATGTCTGTTTAGGTGCCGGAAATATGATAAGACTCGCAATAAAATAGTACCATGGCTGATTTATAGGTCCCAGAAATTATAACTATAGAAATTCAAAAAGAAATTCTCACCTGGTGGACTAGCGGTCTCCTAGGGGATTTTGTTTTAGAATCCGAATTTGAACGAGCACGGTATCTATTCAACACCAAGTCGGCTGGACTAGAAGCATGTCGAGTCCGACCATCGTTTCGTGGGACCATCAACTGGTTCTCAAGAATCTGCCCCATTGGCGTACTAGCCCCCTGGGGTTTGGGTCCATGCTCATTCATCCTTGCATTCATTAATGAATCCCTTAATTGTGATTCATCCATAGAATGGTCCATTTTATTGGCCGGTGAGGTAGCACTGTGCTTTTTCCCTGGTTTTTTAACACCTGATAAATCTGATTTTGATCGAGGTCTAAACTGATCAAAGAAATTTTTTACTTTTGACGACGCACTGTGACTTCCAGACGGTGAACTCCCTTTACTTTCCTTGAAGTCTTCCCCTGACTTATTACGCTGACGGGCTTTCCCTGAGAAAAGGCCTCTAAGACCTGTTGAGCCTGCCCGTGGACGAAATTCACCATCAGGAAAATCGTTTGCCACATCCCGAACATCCGGCTCCAAGAGAGGCATGGCGAAAGCACTTAAATCCTGCAAAAATACACAAAACAGTTTTCAATTAATTTTATGGTTCAGATTTTTATTTACCCTTGAAAAAGTGGATTTATACAAATTTATTTAACAGATCTACAATAAAACCAACATGACACTTTCGAATTTAGAGTGAGATGATAAACGAGTTTTTCTACAGCAATCAATAATTGATCAATTTTTCAGATCTGCCAATGCAACACAAAAATTGTCATAAAGGGCCAAACAATGCAATATAAATCTAATATACAGATAGAAACTGACAAATAATGTCAAACGGAAGTTACTCTAAGGCACTCATTTTAAACATTGTGATCATCTGTTGTACCTCCATATAGATTGTGTGTGCATGTGCTGAAAGTGGTATGTGTGTTCTTCTTGTTATTGGTCTGTATTTTCAAAGGCCTACTGCAGCACAAAGACTGTAATACTCAACCCAGACCATAGTATACTCCATTCTAAGCAGACGGAGCTCATAAAGAACAGTGGTATTGCTAAATAATAATTATAATAATAATATACAACATTTATATAGCGCCCTATATGATTTGTGAAATTACTCTAAAAGGCTTGACAACATATGCATGATAACATTATTAGTTATAATTGTGAAACAAAAACAAAGGCTTACAATCACTTTTGTATAACCACAAGGACACAACCACATCCTTACCGTCCTGTCCGAGGGATACAAACCTACCTAGATACTTAGAACCCTGGTCAACAGGCCAGCTAGCACACTACCAACTGTGCTAACAAGCCTTAACTCATTTATTCAGAATACTGTCTTTTATCTCTGTAACTTTCATATTTTAATCACCGTTTATTTTTTAAAGTACTGATGTTTATCAGACTGTATTTCTATCCCAGATTATACACTGATCACGCTCCCTCAGGGCGGGGTACACACTGATCCCGAGGGAAGGGTAATGTACCTGAATCCTGCCGGAGAGCTTGATCATTAGTAATCCTGACACACCTCACTGTTAAGACCTTACGGTAATCATAGAAAGCTTTACAAATCCACTTGTACTGAAGCTCTTCAGTAAAATCTATGAGATTATGTACCTGCAATCATACCTTTTTTTCTTTATTTTTTTTAAAAGTTTTCTTTGACATCTGGTAGAACATGTACGTAGCAAGCAATAACAATGAGTGTATAAGTTTACGTCTTTTGTATCAACCACAACTTGAATCTTGTATAGCAGAGAAGAAATTTTCTTTATTTTTAATGAAAAACCTTTTTTTTTTTTTTTTTTTAAGATTTTCCACCATCTATCTCCGAACCCCTTTCACAGTTTATACCAATGTTCAATCTGAGGCAATAGGACACTGAGGCAATAGGACACTGAGGCAATAGGACACTGAGGCAATATATAGGACACTGAGGCAATATATAGGACACTGAGGCAATAGGACATCAGGAGAGCTGTTACAGGCCCTTACATTTGGTATCAGATGATGGGACGCTAAAATACTCACTTCACCTGTTCTTAAAACCTGTTGCAATGCCCTTCTACCCCCCCNGCTATTGAAGGCAACATGCTGTTCAAACACAGGTGCAACCCTATTTCTGCAGAATCATGTTCCACTATAAGTGTGCAAAAATTTTTCAAGGACCTGTGTACCATTCAATTTTCAAACTAGATCAAACACATATTTTTCAATATTTTAATTAACTTAAATTGTTAATCATCAAATCATGGTAGCATACAGTATTTGACATAATAAGGGCCCTGGGTGTGGATAAAAGATAAGTGAGGTACAGACATTTCCCCCCCAAACCAACCTAACTCATATTTGGACTGTTTTCCCCTTTTATCAAAGTACTCTTTATCCCCCTCCCACGTTGAATCTCACATAATTAACGCCCTGTATCACAGATTGTGTTGCCACCGTTCAGAAGGTAATGTTCCATGTCAGTATTGTGTATGTTTTTCCGAACTGAAAATGTTATTTTGATGGCAGAAGTTGTCTTACTAACAAAACCAACAAGTTTTCGTAAGGAAACTATGAAATCTGCAATGGAAAAGATCTGATATTTTACAAGAAACATTCAAGTAAAAATTTCGAATTCCTGGGCCACCCTTAACTCTGCATTCACCTCTGAAATTTCATATTGAACTATTCCAACCATTGAGTTGGGAGAGTTCAAATGTGTCTTCAGGGGTGAATGATTTAATAGAGGTGCCCTTATTACGTCCAATACGGTACATAATTACAACATACCTTTCATAAACAAACAAACCAAACTACTTATATTCCACACAAAGCATCTGAACATTGAACAAGGTCTTTACATTTTTGAAATTGCTGTCAGATGAATGGTGAGGATGAGTTCAAGTTTTGATGTGGCAAATATTCTCCCTGTACATTACAGAAGTATGGATATATTACTTTCATTTTCATATCAACCCTTTCACCACTGTGGACCATAATGGACTCATCCAAACAAATGTATGGTAGAGTCTACTAAAGTTAACTAGGGTTGAAAAGGTTAACACTTCTCAAAGGTACGTAAGAATGTTCTCAATCATAAGATTTTTTTAAAAGCAAAACTAGTGTAAATATAATATACAGAAATTTGAGGATAAGGCTGGTACTAATTTCATAAGTGCCTTGGTTCTTGAAATATGTAATACTTGGTATGCATACATAATAGTTTAAAAATCTTTTACGCGAGCCTCCGGATTTTGAACCACATAGGCACTTGTTGTATGTAGTATAGGAACTGTTCACTTCACAAAGCTACATGTATCTACTTTATCATTAAGACATCTACACTCTACAGTAATGGGAAATGAAAGAGGGTGCCAAAATATCACAAGTAATACAGAGTTATCTCCCTTAAGTGCAGTGACCTATATGAAGAGTTGAACTGACCGAAAATTTTTCCAAGATACACTTGGAAGGCAGTTAATTTATCAGTATTTTTTTTTATTACTTATGTTGTATTGATATCATGTAACCTTACATTTTTCTTCTTAAAACAATGTGCAATTAATGCTGTTTCATAGCATACTAGCATTAATTTTGTTTTATTCTTGTTTTCTTTAAAAGCAATTCATCTGAAATGAAATTCCTATATGAGTGATTAATCACCCCTTATTTCGAAGATATAGAATCACTTTCTTTTATTAACTTTCCATGCAAAAATGTGATGAATTTACCTCTGCCTTTTTCACTGGCGCTTGTTTTGAAGTCTGTTCCTGAATCCATGACTTCTCCAGTTGTGATTTCAAACAGTAAACATACAGATTTGTCATTTTGTCAGTTTATAATTCCTTCACTGTCAACCGTTAGCATCCAAGTGTATCAGATACGTTATGCAACCATCGGCTGTATCACAATAATCCTCCCTTAGAATCAAGAGACATGAAGAACCCGATTCCTCTTTGGTCCTGAATTTCGGTTATTACGTGCTGTGTTATACATTACTCATACAAATGCCAAAGTCAAAAGTCTGCCCCACAGTGTATTTCATAATATCAGACTTTTACCCCCAGAAGAAGATTTTGAGATATCCTGGAAAAGAATAAAATGCATTTATCTTCTTTGAAAAACAGATTGCTTCTCCTGTATATTTGTACATCTGAGATTTGTTTTTAAAGCAGAAGCATTAAGACCATTGATAGGACCCATATACCTACTGCCTACACTTAGATAGTTCCAGCTCTGGTGGCACAGGGCAAATCTAAACATTCAATGAAATCAGACACACATAAATGCAGAATAGACATAATATTGACCTCTGACCTTTTCTTTTCCATGTGCTATCAGACAGGCAAATGTTAAAACATTATTCGCCAGGTACAGAACAAATTATATATATATCACAAAACATGACATATAACTTATCACATAGGCCTACTAGAACGCCCACAATCCGCAAAGCATGTTCGACCAACACTCGCTACTGTGACAAAGGACTCAATCAAAGCCCGAACCAGTACCGGACTAGGCAAATAGTTTCAGCAAACAAATGCTCAATTAGTTCTTCAGCTAGAATTTTTCATGACATGTTTACAGAAAAGTTAAAACAAAGTCCCAACTACTGACTAACAGGGATCATCAAAATTAAGAAATATAAAAATATTTTATGATAAATATTTGATATAATATTTTTCGCATTCATTTTTTGTTAAGCTTGCACTACCTGGGATATTTTTAGCTGTAACAATGAAATTAAATTAAAAAAAAGTCAAATTCTGTTCAAATTCTTTTGGAGTGTTATTTATTTTAATTTGACCCTAACCAATTTTGAGCAAAAATTACAGAGCTTTTTAGATTAGATGGACCAGGATACTATGACACTCTATCTGCATGCTAAATTTATAAATGCCCCTGTCAGTCATATATCAAAACTGAAGAAGAAAAAATAAACAATTGTCAGATCAATAAACAGAAATACTACAAACAGTGTAGCCAAAGTCAGCAACTGCTAAATTACACAGAACGATAAGCCATTCATTATGAGAGCTCAAGTGTCTACCAGACCGATCTCCAGACCTCCATTCACAGCTAATTCTAGGATAACTATTTCAACAGTTAGCTTGCCAAGATACTATTAGGGCTGGAACTTGGGTCAGGTACAACGGGAGCTATATTGTATACCATTGAACACAGCGATAAATAACACAATAGTAAGGAATGAGCCGGCATCCAAGGTGGTCCAAAAAAAAGTATAATGGAGAAGGAGATGACTACTTCTGATAATACTCAGGACTACTAGATGGAATGTGATTCATTTACCTCTAAATGGTGAACAGTTAATATTCCTACAGGTGTGATACAGATAGACTAAGATAGTATACCTTGTGAAGATAAGTATATCGGCAATAACTAAATATCCTGTACTTTACTGTACTTTACATCCCTAGTTTTGTCTCTGTATATCACTCAGAATCTTCCCAGAAATAAAACTTGGTTGTGAAAGTTAAAATCCTTAAAAACTGTTTCCTGGATACAGACACATGATCATCTGGTTTGTCAGTCACAGA